TTAGGGAGTTACTTCATTTGATGCTGAAAAAAGCTGTGAATATGGGCATTTGCTATGGTTTCAAGATTGGAGGGTCAAAAAATACTTGCCAATTATCACATCTTCAGCTCGCAGATGATCTAATAATCTTTTTTCGAGCTTCCTTGGGACAAATCAGAAATGTTAAAAGAGTCTTGAGAATTTTCAGCTTGATGGCTGGTCTCAATCTAAATCTTAAGAAAAGTCATTTGTATGGGATTAATATGGAATAAGACATCCAGAAAGATTGGGCTTCATCCATAGGTTGCTCTGTGGGTTCTCTCTTGATGAAATATTTAGGGTTACTTTTAGGAGCTAAGAAGATTTCAGAGGTTCTGTGGGATCCGATTATACAGAGATTCAATAAAAAAATTGGCAGGTTGGAAAGCCTCTATACTTTCCTTGGCTGGTAGATTGGTGTTTTTGAAATCAGTATTGTCATCTCTTCCGATATTTTTTTATCCATATTCAAATTGCCAAATAAAGTTAGCCAGAAATTGAATTCGTTGATGGCTAGATTCCTGTGAGGGGATGGTACGGAGAAGAATTGTATTCATTGGGTGAATTGGAAAATGGTGTGCCAACCGATTGGAAATGGAGGTTTGGGGATTTCAGATTTAAATCTTATAAATTGGGCATTGCTAGGGAAATGGATTTGGAAATCTGCTAATGAAAAGAACACATTGTGGAAGGATTTGATTTGCTGCAAACACAATATCGATTGTCTGTCAATGTCAGTTAATGGGGTGTATAATGCCCATGATTCTTGGATTTGGAAAGAAATAATTAAAAGCTTCTTGAAGAATGATTCGATCGGTGAGAAGTTAAGATCACATTCTAGGTTTCAATTGGGAAATGGCAAATCAATTTCCTTTTGGAATGACGTTTGGCTTGATAATCTCCCTTTAAAATATCAGTTTCCTAGAATTTATGCATTGTCTCCAAATCAATCTGGTAAGGTGGTTGACTTTGGTTGTCATGACTCTAATGGTTTGTTTTGGACCTTCAAAACTAGAAGAAATTTGTCTGATTGGGAATTGGAACAATGGCTAGAACTAATGATAAAATTGAAATGCATTCAGCTGACAGAGACAGTGAATGATTTTTTTGCGTGGTCAGGGAAAGGCGATGGGTTGTTTTCAGTCAAAAGCTGCAGAAAGACTATAGGTATTGATCAAGTTAAGAACCTTATTTGGAAGAGATGTATGTGGTCGGGGTTGATGCCTCCAAGAATTGAAACTTTTCTTTGGCAAGCTACTCACCAAAAGCTAGGTTAATTTATCAGATAGAGAGCTTTGTCTGATGTGCAAGCAGAGTGAAGAAACTGCCCAGCATTTGTTTATCTTCTGCTCAGTGGCTGGGGGGATCTCAGAATTTGGGATGTTTCTATAGCTTTGCCTTTTGATATTCTTTCCCTCATTAGTGCTTGGCCTGATTTGGTTGTGAAATCTTTGATTTGTAAATTCATTCCAGGTGTGGTCCTTTGGTCAATATGGAAACATAGGAATTCAATTGTCTTTGAAAATAAGGTACTAGACAGATCATCATTCTTCTTCATTGTCAGATATAGATTAGCCAATTGGGTTTTAGCCAAGTACCTTCATTCGTCAATTTTGGTGGACTCGTTAATGGATGATCCTTCTTTAGCGGACGGTATCAATTGCTCAAAGTTTTGAATAGGGTTGCACAAAAATGGCTCCCTGCACCTATTGATTTCTACAAATTTAACTTTGATGGTGCTGTAAGAAAAGATGGGTTGGGAAGTGGTATAGAGGGCATTCTTAAAAACTCATATGGCTCCATTCTTACGTCGTTTTTAGAGAATGTTGGTCTTGGTCCTCCCCCATTAGCAGAGTTGAAGGCTATCAGAAAAGCTACCCAAATTTTTTATTTATCAGTCTGGCCTTCTAAGGGAAGGTTGATTCTGGAAAGTGATTATAAATCATCTGTGGATTGGATCCATTTGCCTTACCTCGCCCCTGTGCTTTTTACTAATTTAATTAAGGAGATTGAGTCTTATGTTCTATCTAAGGCATTGTTAGTGAAATTAATTTTTAGAGGTTGTAATTGAGAGGCTGATAAGTTAGCTAAGGAGGGGATTGGTTGATTGTATTTTGTTGTTCAGGTTATTCTTGTATCTTTTGAGGTCAGACTTCTTTAATGTCTTGTAAAGGTCTACTGTTGTATTATTGAATTATCAATAAAATGAGGTACTCTTTTCCTCCTTCCACTAGTTGTCCCTTTCCTTTTGGTAAGGGTCAATTATGAAAGGGGTTTTTAATGAGACCTCCTATTCCTATAAAAAAATTACCCTTGAAATAGTTAGTTAAACATGCCTTTGCAACTATTTCTCCAATCTGCATATCCAAAAGTTGTTTTGTTTGACTAAAACTCTTGCACTCTTTAAGTTAGTATAGAAAATTTGTTCATCTGCGAAATGGAGTATACTAATGGTCAGCCATGTAACACCCCAAATCTCGGGTTAGTAGTTCGGGTTAACTCAAGACCCAAAATTGAGCCCAAAAGACTTTATGAATTAGTTGGACCAAGTTTAGTGTTAGTGGGCTTGAGTTGAGGCCCAAGGAATTTGTGGTTAAGTGATAAGAGTTTTATGATTTAGAAGTTGGGGACTAATAATGTAGTTTGCCCATAGTTAAAACTAAAAGATGAAAACCCATTCCTTTTTATATCTTATAAGTGAACCACCCCCATAACTCCTCACCAATTACTTCTCTTCTTTCTTCCAAAATTCATTTCTTTCTTCTTCTTTCCAAGCTGAGATATTAAGAGTTTTAAGTTTGGGGTTACTAAGCTAAGGTGAGAATGTTTCTCTCCAACATTCAAGCTTTGTTTCAAGCTCTATTTTGTGAGTTTTAGTTTTTTTTTTCAAAATGGGTTTTTTCTTGAAGGTAGGGTGGCTTCTAGTTGATTCAAGAGGTGTTTTAGCAATCAAAGCAATTTTCATGGTAGATTGTTCTTTTGATGTTATAAGCATGTTAATAAGCCTCTATTATGAACACTGTTGATCAAATAAAACTTTAAGCATGTTTGCAGACCTCACTAAGGTCTTTGGGATTGAGAAATAGAGTTTTTCGTACTTGTTTTATGAATTCTGCAGGTAGAGTATCGATATCATAAGGATAATATCGATACTTGTTCTTCATTTTGGGTAAATTCGTGAGTTTTTGGGCAAGAGTATCGAAACTTTGGGTCATAGTTTCGAAACTCCCAGAAAGTTTCGAAACTGGGCAGAACATAATGTTTAAAAATATTGGTACTTACATAAAGTATCGAATACTCTTGGGCTAGTATCGATAATTTCAGTTTGTTTGGGCAAAACGTCAGTTTTTAAGGGAATTAGATTCGAGGTACACAACACTTCTTTTTATCATCAAATAAGACTACAAGTGCGAACGATAAGAAAGTTTAATTCAAACGTGGAAACAAAAATAGAGTAAGATCAAATAATATTAGACTTGTTTGAATGCTCGAGAACACGACCAGGACACCCGAGTTCCTTTAGAAATGATAGTAGAGTCAAAAGTATAGCTTTAGTCCGGATATATCCTTAGGGAGTGTGCAAGGTACTTTAAGTTGACTAATTTGGGAGCAAGGTCCGACACTCAAGGAGTGGGCTAGTCGAGAGTGTGATGTCCGATGTAGAGATTCCGAGGGCCGCATTCTTGATAAACTATAGGGGTGTGTGAGCTCCGAGATGCAGAACTCTCAGTCGCACCATGATGTCTACCATAGAGTAGAGAGCAAGTATACAAGTGTACTCACTAAAGCAGTATAGAACAGATCAGTAGACCAAATAGAAAAGCAGTAGACTTGAATATGTAAGCCTTTCAGTGAATTACAATTAGTATGTTTTAGCTGTTAGTGTGGCGCTGAGCTAAATGTTTCCGTGGGTAGGTTAGTAGATCAAGCAGTTGGAAAACAATAGATAGACCAAGGTTCAGACCAGTCCAATGCAGATCAGATGTACATCTCATCATTTTTATTGGGCATGTATATTTGTAAACATTATTGTCAAGTTGGGTCGTAGATTCAGTCAAGTTTGTCTATAATATTTTTGAAGTGTAAATAATTTATTTTGGAGCTCCTCAGTGAAAAGTTTTTTATTATATTTCAGTTTATTTTATGGTCGTTTTAAAGCATGAGAAAGTAAGTTTAAAGTTTGTTAGTCACTTCGGTGGTTCCATGTAGCACCTTAAATCGATTAACTGTGTGTCGTACTGATGTAGGGTGTTACAAGCCATATCAGAAAGAGTCAATTGAGCTGTTTATCTGCTTCTTTAACTTCTTGTTTTATCCCTTATTGAAGTGTTCATATCAATATAAAAAATTAGTTGATCCTTATTCCCATATGTAATGGGGTAAGGGGGAGGTAAGATAGTAGGTTGCCCCCAACGCCAGGTTGAGATCAACTTCCGTGGGAGACCTCCAAATTATGAAATGATCCCCGTGGGACGATCCCACAACCTCAAGATTAAGAACCTTGTGTTCTACCAACTGAGCTGGATGGTCATTTCTGTTCATATCAATATAACATGTTGCTATATGTATGAATACCGAAAAAAAAATTAATATATGTATGCATGCATTATTATATAGTATATACATCTTAAATTATTGTTTATTTCTAGTTTTTTGTAAACTGAAATTACAGACGAGGTCTGTATGACGACTGCATTTATAAGAAATTGCAGCTGAAGCTTCAACTTCACCATGTGAGAAGCCAAGGGACTGGGTCAGCCTCTTTCCCTGGGTTCCAATTTATCTCTTGATAAGACTTTTTATAAGACATGGATTACATAGTTTTTGAGCCTTTGATTATATGACAATTAGACCTGTTCAAGGGTTGAGTTATTCATCGAAGCCGAAATGCCCATTTTTTCAATATTAAATGGCTTAGGTTAGTCATATACAAATACGAGTGGGTTCGAACCTAGCCCTTGTCATTAAACCCTTGAAATGGTATCATCTTTAATTATTGTTTGATGACCTTTGAATGTTTTCCTGAAATATGTGTCCTTTTTCATACTGTTCTCTTAATTCATTCTCTTTTGCATTACCTGAGACATGTACTTTGTTGCTAATAATCCACATGGTTTTCGCATACATTTATTTCTCGCCGTTGAAAGTAAAAACAGCATTTCCAGGATAGAGAAATGAATGTGACAATTATGAACGTTACAAGGAATTACTTATTCCCTTTTTGCATGACTATGAGTATGCAAGTTACAATCCTGTTGCTTATGACCTTGCAAATCACTTCTGTGAGATGGCTGCAAATTATCATTCTTAGACACCCCATATTTTGGACTACACCATATACCCTGGTTAGTAACACTTCTAATTTTAGAAACTTCCCGTAATTGGTCGCAAACATCAAATGCATGTTTGGGTCGACTCATACCTGTACCTTTTGCATTTGAACAACAGATATGGTGGAGCGCCAAAGATTCATCTCTGCGTATCTGGCATTTTCTGGTTCGTCTCCATTCACTGCAAACTGTATAGAAAAGTATAAATAGTCTGAATTTGTTTAAACAAAGTCCGATTTTCTGGCACAAATATATCATTCTCTGCACTTACTATGCCTTGACATTAATATGTTGAATTGGTTTTAAAATACCAGTCTGGCTGGATTGCATGCATGCAGGAAATGAACACAGTGATGCCAAAGTGGAGCAGCTACTCATCGATGCCGAGAAATACACTCTTGCTAACCATCTGTTTTGGGGCTTATGGGGAATCATCTCGGTAGCTTTTTCTGCACACCCTTTCACCGTGTTACGGAGAAATATTTTTGGACAGATCAGCTTATCGTATGTACAGGGTCATGTAAACAAGATAGACTTCGACTACTTAGAGTATGCACGGCAGAGGATTCAACAATACTGGTTAATAAAACACTTGCTCTCGGGTTCCTGACTTTGTAGCCTTAAAATGCAGCCATAGATTTGTACAGGTTATGTAGCAGTACAAAGTACAAATCTAACCTGCCCATGGTGTCCTATCGCTGTTACTCGGATGTGTTAAATATTGATGTATCCTAGTGTTCGGCATGGGCATGTTAAATTTGTTCTTCAGTTCTGTCATGCATTTAAAATTACACTTTTTTCAGTTTGTACATTAAACTGTTTTTTTTTTAAAATTTGTTTCTTAAACTAACTTCCCCCCCCCCTTTTTTTGGTTTTATCTAAAATTAGAGAAGTGGCCAATAAAAACATGACACATGGCATGCCATTATTGGACTTCGATAATTTTTTGAGTAAACTAAGATAAAAATGATAGTTAAAGAGTAAGTTGAGATGAAAATGATAGTTCAAAGTTAAGAAAAAAATAGTTTAAGTTGAAAAGTAGGCAAAATTGTTACAATAATGGTCTGAGAAAAAATTGATGGAATAATGGTGCACCAGAATTGCTTCGATAGGGTTCTTGCTATAGTAAAATCGGAGTCGCATTGTGCGCATCTTAGGATGGTGTCGCATTCGAATCCAAGGTCTTAGGGTGATGTCGCATGGACCACTGTACGTATCCCCTGCTCCCGTGGTTGCAATGCGTCCCCCCTGCATACATTCTCTCGTGAACCTGCAAGCCTGAAAAAAAAATTAAGCTGAAATGTTGCATGCATGCAACCTGTAAAAAATCACGTGAACGCAAAAGCTGCATGACATCAAAGTTCTGCGGTGCGGCGCCTAAAAAACGGCTAATATACGGCGTGACCGGTTAAACAAGTGACCGGTTATGTTATATTATTTAACCGAAAATATTATAAAGTACAATAACATACTAGGTAGTGTTTATATAATGTAATAGGTAGCGCTTATATTTACCTATTTTATAAGTAAACCGGTATATTTATACCGATAGCATTGCAAATTTACCTATTACATTATATTATATTGAAAGTGTCCATACTTTTTATAAAAATGATCGATATTTCTTTTAAAGTTATGTAATTTATGTTTCAATTTTTTTTAATAGTATTTCATGTTTTCCACCTACAATATTAATTTAATAATTTCATTTGCACAAAAAATTATTTGATTGTTTTGATATTTTATAAAATATTATTTAGAATTTTTAATTTAATAATAATATATATCGTAACGTAAAAAATAAATCATTAGACGCCTATAATTACTAAATTAATATCTTAAAACTCACTCAAAAGATAACCTTAAATTAATGTTTTCCACAATGAGCATTGCAAATTTACCTATTACATTATATTATATTGAAAGTGTCCATACTTTTTATAAAAAGGATCGATACTTCTTTTAAAGTTATGTAATTTATGTTTCAATTTTTTAATAGTGTTTCATGTTTTCCACCTACAATATTAATTTAATAATTTCATTTGCACAAAAAATTATTTGATTGTTTTGATATTTTATAAAATAATATTTAGAATTTTTAATTTAATAATAATATATATCGTAATGAAAAAAATAAATCATTAGACGCCTATAATTACTAAATTAATATCTTAAAACTCACTCAAAAGATAACCTTAAATTAATGTTTTCCACAGTGAAAAAAGTATGGACACTTTTATAAAAAGGATAGACACTTTACAATATAACCACTACCTATTACATTATATAAACGATACCTATTACATTATATAAGCGCTACCTATTACATCATATGTTTACCTATTATATTGAAAGTGTCCATACTTTTTATAAAAATGATCGATACTTTTTTTTAAAAGTTATGTAATTTATGTTTCAATTTTTTTAACAGTGTTTCATGTTTTCCACCTACAATATTAATTTAATAATTTCATTTACACACAAAATTATTTGATTGTTTTGATATTTTATAAAATATTATTTAGAATTTTTAATTTAATAATATATATCGTAACGTAAAAAATAAATCATTAGACACCTATAATTACTAAATTAATATCTTAAAACTCACTCAAAGGATAACCTTAAGAACACTTGAAGAAGCAAGAGAACAACTATCCAAGCAATCAAAAACGAGAAAATCCCAACATGATAACAACTGAACATATCATATCAATGTTCAAACTCAAGTTGTAGATTTTGATTTCCTTTTGCTTGGCATCATATGAGATTTGGATTTGGATTTCCTTTTGCTTGGCACCATATGAGCTTTGGATTTTGATGAGCATCGGAAGTATTTCAGACTTATGATTTGGGTGGTACTCAACTTATGATTTTAGTTGCTATTTGTTACATTTCTTGTATACCACCCAGATCATACGCCCGAAACGTTTCTGACGCTTTAAAGTTGACCAAAAAATAAAATGGTCGGGATTTCCCTCGCGTTTATACGTTGGAAAAAAACAATGGAAATTAGGAATAATCAATGATAACATGCATATTGACTTGGGCTAATATTTATAGTGGAGCCGAAATATATATTGAAATTCAAACTCAAATTGAAATTTAAATTCAAACTCCAATTACATATGAAATGAATTTGAAATACAGTGTTAAATTGAACATGAAAATTGCAACGGTGAGGGGCATAACAAACTAACATGTCCTCAAGTCAAGCTCAGTTTGAGTACAAGCACACAGCCTACATCAACTGATTTTTTCGAAGACGGAATGGAATGACAACGATCTCCATATAATATATCGTAAGTATCAACATGACTCCTATTGTATGTACATATAAATATTTTGAATGAAGGAAGAAAAACCGCGTTACTTAAAATTACCGACACTTTTTTAAATGGTATCGACACATTTTTCTTCCAATCTGGACATAAAGTACCGACACAATATTATAAAGTGTCGATATAGGTTGTAGACCTATTCGCTCATAAAACCGGTATATTTATACCGGTTATATTACAAAATTATCTATTACATTATAAATCTGGGTTCCGATGTGTAAATGTCGATACTTTTTTAAATCGTATCGACACATTTTTCTTCCAATATGGACATAAAGTACCGACACAATATTAAAAAGTGTCGATATAGGTTGTAGACCTATTCGCGCATAAAACCGGTATATTTATACCGGTTATATTACAAAATTATCTATTACATTATAATTATGGGTTCCGATGTGTAAATGTCGACACTTTTTTAAATCGTATCGACACATTTTTCTTCCAATATGGACATAAAGTACCGACACAATATTAAAAAGTGTCGATATAGGTTGTAGACCTATTCGCGCATAAACCGGTATATTTATACCGGTTATATTACAAAATTATCTATTACATTATAATTATGGGTTCCGATGTGTAAATGTCGACACTTTTTTAAATCGTATCGACACATTTTTCTTCCAATATGGACATAAAGTACCGACACAATATTAAAAAGTGTCGATATAGGTTGTAGACCTATTCGCGCATAAAACCGGTATATTTATACCGGTTATATTGCAAATTTACCTATTTTATTATAATATGTTGAAAGTGTCCATACTTTTATAAAAAGGATCGATACTTTTTTTAAAGATATGTAATTTATGTTTCAATATTTTTTAAGTATGTTTCATGTTTTCCACCTACAATATTAATTTAATAATTTCATTTGCACAAAAAATTAGTTGATTGTTTTGATATTTTATAAAATAATATTAAGAATTTTTAATTTAATAATAATATATACCGTAACGTAAAAAATAAATCATTAGACGCATATAATTACTAAATTAATATCTTAAAACTCACTCAAAAGATAACCTTAAATTAATATTTTCCACAGTGGAAAAAGTATAGACACTTTTATAAAAATGATAGATATTTTACAATATATTAAAAAAGTATAGACACTCAAATGTATATGTACACATAGAAGCAAATATGGAATAATTAATGAAAATATACACACAATATAATCACACCAAAATATAAATACACAAGAATGTTCAAATAATGTACCGACAAACAAAATTAATCCGATGAAAAAGGGTTGTTTCTAACGAAGTCCGGAACATTAGAGGCCTTCAACAAATTTTCCAAATACTCTCGTATGTTTCCGCCTTTTTATGAGGACATACATAAATAATTTCAATTATCAAACTAATGAGGTGCAATTTTACTAACAATAAATTAAATTCGCATAAGCATGAATAAATTTGTGTCATACCTAGAGCTTTGTCGTTCGAATGGGAAGCAGCGTCAAATGTATGTGGACATATGTAATTGTATTTCTATATAAACACATAAGTTGTTAAAATAATCAATGTATGAACACCTGTTCAACTGGAAAAACATATTGCATAAATGCAACTTACCGGATTATAAATCATTTTTCCGCTGAATCATCGACCAAAAGTGTATTTAGCTCGTTAAAATCTGGACACGCGTTCCAAACATCATTGAGATCTTTACAGTAGGTAACAGAATCGTATGTTTTGCATTTTTTTTGATCCTGTTCACAAACAGTCGAACATAAATATGTAGGAATCATAGACAACGAAAAGTCAGCAAACTGTAATGACATTCATCTTACCCACACGAATAGAAAATGCTCGGAAAATACAGGTAGTTTCTCAAGTACACGGTCGACGTTATGCCTGAGATTGTAATCAAGTTTGAATGTTAACATTCAAATGTATATTAACGATTTTGACTACAGTAATTCAATTGCCTCAAACATGTTCTAACCTCATCTTTGAAGACCAAAGGGCAACAACAAAATTGTCGACACAAAATTGCATAAATTCAAATAATCCTCTTCTGAGGACAACATCTACAACATGAAGAAAATGAGATTAAAGTTCTACGCTTATATGTTAAAATAATGGATACAAAAGAATAGAATTAAAACCTGCTGGCAGTCTTGGGATGTAGGCAAGGACACCATTGAGATCAAAAATTAAAAGTTTTCTTGAAGGCGGCGTTGCAGACACGATATAATTGTTTGGATCATCATCTTCATCATCATCATCATCATCGTCATCATCTTCATCGCCAGCTTCATC